GGATTGTATGTAGCTCTCATTTTCTTTGAATTATAATTAATTATTATGTAAATGTATATACTATTGATAGTTTTATTTTTAGATTAATTTTAAATTATTTGATTTTTATATAGGAATTTGATGGAGAGAAAGGTGTAAGTTATATCCCATTGCCAAAAATATAATAATTCATTACTATAAGAAAACAAAAAACAGGCCATCGCCTCATTGTTATAATATATCAATTACTATATTCAGTACGTCAAAACATGTCGATGAAAAATAGATTAATGCTTCTGATCAGCTTCTTGTTTTCTACTCCATCTTTTTCATTGTAATAAAAGAAAAAAAATAATTATGTTACTCATTTTAGCAGCAAGTTCCTTCTTGGTTGTATACATAGGAGATATTAGAGAGTCGATAAAGAATTAGAATTTTTTTGAGGCAGTTTTCTTATTGTTTTATTTTTTAGAAAACAATTATAATTTCATTTGGTTTTTGCTTTCTCATTGTTTGTTTAAATTTATATAATAAAAAACTATTTTTTTATAACCACAACTTCTTCCACAACAACTACTATCAACTTTATAAAATGCTGCAATTGTCTTAAGTGCATCGTAAGCTAATCTGCTTGCGATTATTATTGTAGTATTTTATAAAATTTATTGTAAAATTGTTATGGTGAAAATAACTTAGGTATTCTGATTGTCAAAAAAACATCATTCCACTATAGAAATTTCTAAAAAAACGTGTAAGCAGCATGAAAATGATAGTTAATTAACGAAAATGTGATTGATGTCTGAAAAACAAGACATTTAGAAAGTGGTTCCAAAAAGACTCTTACACTTTGTTTGGGAGGGCTTTCTTACTGCTTTTTAAAGCTTTTTTTTAATAAAAAAATTAAAATTTTTATACTAAAAAACTGTTGTAAGAAGCATTAAGAAAGCCATCCCAAATAAAATCTTATTAGTTGATTAAATTGAAGTTTATATAGCTTTGATTATTCGATTAAAACTAAGTTTAGCTTTTATTATTCCTGTAGAGCACTTAGTGAAGCAAATTAATTATTATTCTCTGGCTACCAAATCTCGCCTCTTCTTGCCCACACCTCCCATCTTTCTCTACTGCACCATTCTCGAACTCATCACAGGTAAGGAAGCAAATATGTTGAATTCCAAATAGTTGTTTGCTATTAAAGGCTTATTTTGAGTTTTTTTTTCCTTATTTTTACATATTATTTTCTTGAAAATATTTATGTGAGAAGTACCTTAATAATCAATTTTTTTTTACGTGTGGCAATTTGTAAAAAAAAAAGGCCTAAATCCAACTTTTTTTAGAGGAAAAAAATTATGTAATTTTCACAATAGGTTGCAATAGTTCTAAATTTAATTAATTGGGGACATGCATAATCTTAGGGGAGAAATAGAAAAAAAAATTCTTAAAAGTTTAGAGAAATACATTTAATGATGATAAACAAAATAAATAAAATACTTATTGCCTTATATATCCCCATCACATAAGTTCTTGCGGTCTTCTTCTTTCATGAGGAATTTGATGGAGAGAAGGATGTTGTCCTCGCACATTCCCTTTGGGACACTGTTTTCTACTTTATGATGAGTATAAAGAATAAAAATGAGATTGTATCAACCTTTTTAGTTTCTATAGCCTCTTTACAATCTATGGTGATATGGTTTAGTTTATCATCACATGAATTATTCTCAACTAAGAAGAGTGGGAAGATTTCCATGGTGTTAGTGGTTGGAGTAACAAGATTTAGGCTTTCTTAGCGACAACTTTTGAACGCTATTTTTTCGTTGTCTTCGACAATTTTTTTAGCTAGAAATTTGTGGTTGAAAACAGTAAGAAAGTTGTCTCAAATAAAACCTTAATGTGAGCTCCATGCCATAAATTTTTTTTTTAAAAAATTTGTGATCATTAATTTTTATATCCAAATGAACTTAGATTCATGTGATCTTGATATTTTTGAAATCATTAGGATGAGACACTTAGGCTTTGTTTGGAACTGTTTTCTTATTGCATTATGTAACAATTTTTCATTATTTGAAGTTCCAAAAAATCTCTTCGGTAGAATTTAATTAGTTAAATCTTGCTTAAATTAAGCCTAAATTAGTGTACAATACCAAATTGTTAGGGGCCGAGCCAATATCTCTTTAAACGACGGACAAAATAGAATTGGGGCATGCATAATCTTAAAGGTTGAAATAGAAAAAACAAATTCTTAAAATTTTAGACAAATACATTTAATGATGATGCAAAATACTAATTCCATGAAGAAAAAAAAATTCTTTATGAAACATAAAAAGGCTTCCATAAAACTTTAATGTAATTTAAAATATTTAAATATATATAAATAACATGGCTTATCATTTAATTCTCACCCGAGAGTCAACGTTACAATTAACTTTTTGAAAACAAAATTAATATATTATATTATATGAGATATTAAAAAGTATTTATTCTCGACCACAGTGGGAGTCGAACCCACGACCTTCTGATCCGAAGTCAGACGCGCTAATCCACTGCGCTATGCGGTCAATTTATGCATTGTAAAGGGTTTAAAATTTTATAAATCAATAATAATTGCAGAACTATGAGGGCTGATTTGTTGTCTTTAATTCAAACGCATTAATATATTATTTATTAGGACATGTTTCTCATATTGAAATATAATGGTGAGTAATGTCAGTGATGATGAGGCATGGGTTAAGATGGCAAATATGTATGATTTATGAGGTTAAAAAATCATTCAAATTGGATAATTTTTTTTTAAAAAATAAATGTTATATAGTGTTTTAAATCATTCAATATTATTTCATATTGAAATGCTTCAAGGATAAGAAGAGTGTAATTGCATACGTGTACATATCTTATTGGGTGTTTAAAAAGTTCCTGTAGAGGAATTTGACAAATCCTAGCAACGAAAACTCAGCCAAGAAAGATCGCCTCTTCTCCCTGAAGTACTCGTCAATGTAAGGCCTTGAGACAAGTCAACTGGCAACCCGAGAAGATCACCCTCAACAAGAATTCTAAGGATTTGTTATAAATCCCTCCATACTTGGTAGCATTCATCTCCTTGGTAGAGGTCATGCTCCCCATGCAACTTGTAACACATGCTAGTTAGCAAGCTTCCAAAGGCATGCCTTGATCTACTCTCAAGGAAGGCTCGCCCCTAGAAAGACACAAATCTGCTTTCTTCACACTTGGACAATCATCTGCTCGCAATCATCACAGTTCAAGTTGACTCGCCCATCGTATTCAAGATCGAGGACTGTGCCCAAATGATTTCTAAGGAAACTAGAGGATTTATCATCATAGACACGTCTAGCACGATTCACTCTAAGGACTCGCCTTCATCAACCTGCTCATGAACACTTTGCTGAGATAACTCACCTCAAAACTGAGTGTCGAACCAAAAGAAAAAAAAAATTGTGCAAAGCACTAATCAAATCGTGGCACATGTCCCGAGCAATCAATGTTTTGTCATATTTCTTATTGTACTTTTTACTTTTGTTTTTATGTAGTCATTTATATAGCCCTTAGATTCCTATAAATAAAAGATAAAGAGGCGCATTTTGAATCATTTGAATATATTTGATCTACTAGAGCATTTTTTGAAATTTCCTTAGCCTTTTTCCAATATTCTTTGAATCTTCTTCTTAGGAGTATTTTAAATCTTATAATTTTATTTTGTACTTTTGCTTTAAATTAAATAAAAAATTTTAAAAATAAAATAAAGATAAATAATTTTGCAATAAACTCTTAACATTTTTCACGAAGCAATCCATAATCTTTATATTTTAATGATTTAGGGCATCTTAATTTGCTATTTGTAACGATTTAAATACAGAAAAGAAATAAATAAATAAATAAGAATTTCAGCTAAGACTTTTTTTTTTTTGGAAAAGAAGGTTTTCATTTCCTTTGTAAAATGTTTAATTAGCATAGTCTTATAGCTGAATTTACTTTCACATGTTATCGCACAAATCGGTGGGTTGTTGAAAATACACTATGTTTTTATGCCAAATAATTTAAAGAATTGTTGCGTCCTGGAATATTCGCGGCGGTAGAGAAATATATAGTTTAACGTCTTAGCGTTGTACGAAGATCCAGCACACAATCAGATAAGTGAGAGGGTGTAGCGTTCATAAGAGACACCAAAGTTTTTACGTGGAAAACCCCTTAAAAGGGGGAAAAACCACGGGGCCTAGCCCAGTTTGAATGAATCCACTAGTATTTGTAGTCGGTTACAAATGAGGCCCTTCCTTAGGAGAAGGCCTTGGATTGATGTAGCAAATATACATCATATAGATTGCATTACATGGTAAAAGTTACATATACAGGTTTGTTTGGCCTGAAGGACCGTGGTCGGCAGGAGACCGGAGTTAGAAAGACCGTTGTCTAGTGATGGAGGTCGGACGGACCGTAGTAGGCGACAGTGGTCAGAAGGACCGTAGGCGGTAGGAGATAAGGAGTCAGGTGTTAGTCCCAGTGTCACTTGGAAGATCGGATGTTGATGGTCTGGCCTTGAGTAGGACGTCGGGTCTTAAGCAGGACGTCAGGTCTTCAGCAGAACGTAAGGACTGAACGTCGGGCCTTGAACAAGACGTCGGGTCTTTGGCAGGAAGTAGGGACTGAGTGTCAGGCCTTGAACAAGACGTCGGGTCTTTGGCAGGACGTAGGGACTGAGTGTCGGGCCTTGAACAAGACGTCGGGTCTTTGGCAGGACGCCGGGGATGAACGTCGGGCCTTAAGGTGGTGGTCCGGCGAGGTTTTGTGGTGGTCCGGCGAGGTTCCTGTGGTGGTCCGGCGGTGGTCCGACGAGATTCCTGCGGTGGTTCGGCGGTGGTCCGGCGAGGTTCTGCGGTGGTCCGGCGGTGGTCCGGCGGCTGTCGAGGAGGAACTCCTTCCTTCTCTTCTCTTCTTCTCTCTCTTGCTTGGATCCTCCTCTTGTGAAGAATGAGGGCTCTATTTATACCTTCCAAATGAAGCTATTTCAAATGAAGTCGAAGTCTTCATTTAAAAATAATAATTATTATTATATTAATCTCAAAATAAATTTCAATTTTTTGAAATTTATCCTGATTAATTTTATCAAAATATTATGATATAATTTTTTTTAAGGGTAAAATAGCTTTTAGATAATCAAGGAGATGACCAGAACTGAGCTTTCTTCACCTTGGAAATACTGTTGAGCACACTGAGAGGCGTCAGATCTCCAATCACAGTCACCTTCTTTGTTGCAAGATCAGTAGTAAATGATGTCACTCCTAATTGGGATAATAAATAAATAAATAAATAAATTTATAAGATAAGAGAAAATAATTCTTCTTGCTTCTTGGTTTTAATTAAGATTTTTCTGTTATTCCTATTATTCCAAAAATTATTTAATCTAAATATTATATTTTAATTTTATATGTGTGAACTAATTTTAGATTTGGGACAGCTTTCATTCTATTGTGTAAGTATTTAGGGTATTTTTTCACTATTAGATTGTTGTTGTATGTTTATTTAATATATTTTTTTATTATTTTTTCATAAATTTTTCTGATGGTAGACGGATGGGTGGTGGTCCGACAACAAGCGGTGGTCTAGCGATGGTTGGTGAACAGGTGAAGGTCTTATGGTGTTTGGTGGCCGAGCGGAGGTCCCATAATAGTTGGCGAAAGGTCGAAGGTCTAACAGTGTGCAGTGTCTGGTTGGAGGTTTTAGGAGAGGCGATGGTCCGGCAACGATTTGCGGTCGAGTGGTGGTCGACTGAAGTTCATTGATGGTGGTACTTTGGTAGAACTCTATAATCCTTGAAACCTCGGAGCTTTCTCCAATCTCTAGTCAATAATTCACTCATGTAAAGGTGTGGGCTTATTTATAGATTTTTGTAAGTATCATGCCTTGTAAATATGAAGAAAATCAATGGCAATATCAAAGTGGTCAATCATATGACTCATATCATTTTTCTTGATCATAGAGTGTTCATCAAGTATTTAAATGTCATAATGATGGCAAAATTAAGCGAGCTTAGGCTCGTTGGATTCATCTTATTGAGCTGGTCAATTAGACTATAAGCATGTCATATTTGTATATCATTTAGTCATCAAATTTAAGCTTTAAACCTCCCAAATGTGTTTCAGTCCCTTGATTTGAACTCATTTGAGCTTGGAGTGGATCGATTTTGGTGTCATTGGGTTTGTCTCATTGAGTCTCTCAATTTGTCTATAATTTTGTTGAAATTGGAGTTCAAATGGTCCCAAATTAAATTTTGAAAGTTTCAAATTTAAATATACCCCGAGTTTCGTGCCCTCGATCAAAACAATTTTTGATGACTTATCAGATGAAAAGTTATCTCTTTTTTTTGTTCTTTTTAAAAACTAATTAATATTTTAAAGTTTAAAAGCACCATATGCACTAAAATAAATACACATTTAAATACTTTTTTTTACTTTAAAGAGAGATTTACATACATACCCCTCACTTGTATATTATTTACATATACAAGAACAACAATAACATCTCACTATGTGGGGTAGACTATATGAATCTTTTTTCTCGTTGATCTATAAATAATCAAATTTTTATTTAAATCTAATAAAATATGTTCATTTCTAATAATTTTTAACCAAGTCTTTTTAGGTGTACCACATCTAATACATCTAGTCTCCTAGCTAAGTCATCAAAAGGCCGACATTTTACGTACATTTACTTTAAAATTTTATATTTATTAATATAAAATAATATTCTCTAAATAACATCAACATTAAATTATTTAAACTGATAAATATTTTTTCATGTAAGGTCAAGATATATAAATATATAAGAGTTAAGTTCTATGTGTGAAAATCCCTTTATTTTAAATAAATAAATAGGAAAAGGGTTTTAATCAAAACCTTTCATCTTGGAGATGTGCTTTCTGACCTTCCCTTCACAGCCCTTGCAGTGCAGAGACACCTTCAAAACCACAACCTGAAACCCAAAAAAAATACATAAATAAACTAAATTAAAAATTGAGAAAAGAAAATTACATTAAAAAAAAAAAAAATCAAACCTGATCTCTCTGCCTTACAGGAGGAGGAGGAGAAGGTGATTCCATGAAAGTCAAAGCCTCACCTTTCATATAGTCAAACCTCAATTCTTCCATGGAAATCATAGGAGTAAAGCTTTCTGTATCAGAGAAGTCATCAATGGCTACTGGCACATCATTCAGTAGATAGCGAGAAGAAGTTGCAGGGCTGACTATTTGGGGGGATTTCTCTGTGTTCTTCCTGTTCTTCTGGTTACAGGCTTTATTGGCTTTGGAATGAAATCTGGAGAAGTATTTCTCTCTCAGTGGGTCTCTCAGATGAGGAGAATAGCGATCAATTGCTCGGCCATGGCTAAGGCTTGAGCTCGAGCTTTTGCCTGTAGAAGAAGATGGAGAAGAAGAGCTTGAGAAGTTTATTTCTTGGAAATTGCTCAAGAGATTGGAAGCCATGGATTTTGACAATTAGCATGAGAGAGAGAGAGAGAGAGAGAGAGAGAGAGAGAGAGAGAGAGAGAGAGAGAGAGAATCAAGTGAGGAGAAGAACAAGTTGGCAAGTATGACAGCTTGGTAGCTGGTGTTAAATGTGCCTTTAAAGGATTTAAAGAGTTGCAGGTAAAAGAATTTATAATAACAAATTTACGTTCTTACCAAATTTACAGATTTATGTGGGAAGGCTTAGGTTCTGCTTGATAAATGATTTGTGATTTATAAATTGAGTTCAATAGGTTAAAGAGTCAAATTTGAGTAAGATTTTGTTTGTGACGATTTTCTTTTTTACTTTATTTTTCATTGTTTTTAAAAAAAAAAATTAAAACGGTCCCAAAGGGGGACCATCAATCTTAGGCTACAATTACAACTTCCTTAATCTGTTATAAAATAGAGTTTTAGTATTGATACGTCATGCAAAAATTATCTTGATCGGGCACGAATCTCGAGGCAAAATCAGTTCGGAAACTTCAAAAATTAAATTCGAGAACATATGAGCTCCGATTTCAGCGAGTTTATAGTCAAACTGAGCGTCTCGGAAATACGAATCTAACGACACCAAATTCGACCCAATCTGAGTCCAAATGAGTCCGAATCAAGGGTTCAAAGCGCTATTGGAAGATTCAAACCGCAATTTGAGTTACCAAACGGTCTCCGATTTTGACGAGCTTATACTCGAATCGAACGGCTCGACGAGAAGAATCCAACGAGCCCAAGCTCACTGAATTCCGACATCTTTAAAGCCCTCAAATAACCAACGAACGGTGCTTGATCGTAGGATTCAATATCGGCCGTCCATTCAACTACTCCCTATTCGCCCCTGATCTCACGCCTATTTACGGGCCATGCCATTCCAGAAAATCTATAAATAAAGCCCTCATTCCTCACAAGAGGGAGATCCAAGCAAGAAGAGAAGAGAAGAAGAGAAGGAAGAGGAGGAAGAAGCTCCTCCTCAACTACCGCCGGAACCTCGCCGGACCACCGCCGTACTGTTATTCATGTCAAATAATTTATCAGATTCTCTTTGAATTGGATGGGGAATATTGTCAAAAATCTTCTGCTGCACAACTCATCGGAATCAGATGCTTTTTCCACTTATTTTTGTTGCTTCTTTTTCGCTTTGCATTCTTTTAATTCAACTAACTATGCATACTAAGGCCTCCACAAACAAAAAGATAATTAAAAATGATTAATTTTTAGCTATTTTATCTTAGTAAAAATTTGATTTTTATTAAGCATAATCCTCAAGTTTCTTTCATTAAAAAACTAATTAGCAAAATTCAATTTAATTTAAGCTAATTAAATTGATTAACAATAACACTAACCAAACCTACTTTTAAGCCAAAGTTTGAACAGTAGCACACTTTTTTGTAATAAAATCTGGTTTGTTTAAAAAAAAAAAAGTAGCACATTTTTTTTTAGTTGGTTTGAATTTGATTTGAATTTTGGTGCTCATTTGGTGAATGAATTGATATTTTACTTTTAATTTTATATAAATAATTCTTAAATTTAGGTATGTTTTCATTTCGATCCAACGTCTATGTTAAACACTGTTTCTATTTGGGGGGTAACTAAGGCTTTATTTGGACAACTTTCTTATTGCTTTTCAAAGCAACTATTTAGTTGAAATTTTTAAGTTTAACAAAATTTTATACTAAAATGCTGCTTTATAAAGTAGTAAGAAAACTATCTGTTAGACTTAGGTTTCGTTTGGGGCGGCTTTCTCGTAGCTTCTTAAAGCAGCTTTCTAATACAAGAATTTAAAATTTTATACTAGAAAGCTGCTTTAAGAAGCATCAAAAAAGCTGTCACAAACGAAGCCTTAGTTTGGGACAGCTTTTTTTTTGCTTTCTAAAGTAGATTTATAGTACAAAAATTTTTAGTTTAACAAAAATTATACTAAAAAAATATTTTAAGAAGTAGTAAGAAAGCCATCCCAAACAAAATTTTAGTTGAATATGAATGCATTTTTTATTAAAAAAAGAAAAATAATTAATCCATATGATAATTAGAAAAATCTATTGCTCCTACAACTTAATTTGTGATAGCTAATTAAGTAACCCATATTATAATTTGTTAATTAGATCATTTTTTTCATTAATAATTAGATCATTTGTAGAATTATTTCTAATATTAAACTTATAAAATGAATATACTTATTATAAAAATATATAATTAATCAAATTTTAATTTATAATGTATTGATTTGTAAAGTTTTAATTAAGTGCACTTCATGTACATATAATTAAACTAAATAGATAAATATAAGCCATTAGAGGATGAGATTCATTGATGTGTTGGAGTCTAATTCTTAGGGGTTGATTCATTTTTACTTGTGATTATTTTCAACTTTCATTTATAGGTAATTAAAATAAAAATTATAATGTAATATTTTGATTAAGAGAAATACATTGAGAGTTATATTCTATGAAATTTCTTGAAAATTAATTGAATATTTCTATTTTTATGATCATCCATGTTTTTAATTTTTTAGGGTGTAAATAAGTAATGTCCTCTAGATTCAAAAAACATAATGAAATTGATATGATTGTGGATCTTAAAGAATTATTCTTTGAATCAATCTAGCAAAAATGAATTTACATATATACCATGGAATTGTCGCTTTTTTATATAAATTATGCTTAAATATGTAAATTATATCAAAGAAATCACGAACATTAATTAATTTAAAGTAAAATATATACTTGTTCCTATATATTATTTGATGTAATTTAAATATTTGAGTATTATATAAATAATTATAAAAATTTAGATGTCATATAAATACACACATATATGCGTTATATAATATGTATTTGAATTCCCCTTCTATAAAATTTGTCTTTTGTTGTCATGTATTTCCCTTGCTTATTGAGCATTAAGATTAGTCATTATTTAAAGAATAAGTAAGCTAGCAGACAACATAAGACTATAAGAGCTATATTTATACATCAAATAAAGAATAAAAAATAATTCAAAATTTTAAAAAAGAATTTAGAGTTCATTTTGAAGAAAGGAAGACGCAAAATTATCAAGTATAGTAAAAACATAGAGGGAGTTCTTCTGAATAATAACTTTGTATTAATTTTGAATTATAGAGCTTTCGGTTTACATATAGAGTGATAGGAGGCAAGTTTGTTAGAAATCAGAGGTTGAGCTTGGAGTTTATTTGCTACAGTGGACTGTAGAATGCAGGTGGAGCAGTTGCAAAATTTAGAGATAGGGAAGATAATTAAGTAGTCAACAGTAGGAAAAGACACTTATCTTGGAGGCTTGCGTATCAAACATACTAACAACCCCCCCCTCAAATTAATAATCGAGAGATTGGATCGTCAATGAGTGTCGAAGTTTTTGAAATCAGGTGGAAGACAAAGGTTTTGTGAGAAAGTCGGCGAGCTGATCAACTGAATTGATGTGCAGGACAACAATTTCATTGGACTGTATACGCTCTCTTATAAAATGATAATGAATTTCTATAAATGTTTAGTTATGGCAGAAAAGACTGGATTGTTGCTAGCTAGAGCCATCACTAATGTGTTATTGTAGTAGAGAACAGTTGTTGTATTTAGTGTATTTAGTGGAGATTGAAATTCAGCAAGGAGATATCTCCTGAAACAATAACTTTATATTAATTTTGAATTGCATAGCTTGCGATTTACATATAGAACGATAAGAAGCAAGTCCATTAGAAATTAAAGATTGAACTAGGAGATTCCTTTGCTGCAATGGTGCGCAGGATGCAGGTGGAGTAGTTGTAGAATTAAGAGATAGTGGAGATAAGTAGCCAGTAGTAAAAAAATGCACTTATCTTAGCGGCTTGCGTTTCATACATACTGAAATTCAAAATTCACTAAAAGTTTCATAAGTATAATAAAAACAGAGAGATAGTTCTCCTGAAACAATAACTTTGTATTAATTTTCAATTACAGAGCTTACGATTTACATATAGAGCGATAGGAGGAGTCTCATAGAAATCAGAGGTTAAGTTGGGAGATTCATTTGCTGTAGTGGAGCACAAGATGCATGTGGAGCAGTTGCAGAATTCAAAGATAGTGGAGATAAGTAATCAACAATAGGAAAAGTCACTTATCTTGGGGGCTTGCGTACCATACATGCTAACACATTAAGCCCCTCATACCTATTCTTTAACATATGCATGTTCACGCAGCTTGTTTTGATTGGTTAGTTGAGAGCTTTGACTATTAATCAAGAGGTCTTCGGTTTGAAGCTTGTATATACAATGTGTATGACTTTACCTTAACGTACTCAAAAGTCAACGCCCCCCCCCCCCAGGAAGAAGTTGAGACTCTCTTGGGGAAGCTTTGCTCTTATCATGTTCTTTATACTTGCCATAGAAGTAAAATGTTGTGCCCCAAAGAGAAAGCGCAAGGGCTATTCCTTTCTCACCATCAAACTTCTCATGGACAAAGAAGACCGCAAGAATCTGTGTAATGGGGATACAGACGGCGCCAATTATGCCACCGAGCAAAGCTGAAGAGTATTTAATAGTTCCCACTATGCCTAAGAAGTAGAATTGACCTGCAACAGAGGTGAAGAAAACAACAAGGTAGTACTTTGACACACCAAGCCCATAATGCTTACTCTCTCTTGAGATTGCCTACAATTTGTAATATTGAAAATTAGTTAAAAAAACTAAAATATGTATAGACATATAGTATTTATGAAATTGTATATCCCCAAAAAACTTTGTTATTTCCTAGAGAATGTGATAAATATTTTCGTGTGAAAGCATGTTGTAGAAAATCAACCTTAAACTTTAGAAGACTCTCTCAATTCGGGGTATGATTGAGTCAAGTTAACTCTTGAGTTGAATCAATAAATAGCTTATAGCTCAAGCTTAAGCGAGGCGTGTCTAGAGCTCAACCTAACGCTTTTGAAATACTCATCGATCTCAACCAAAGTAGAAGTTATAGAAAATTAATACTAAGTGGTTTTTGTTAGAATGATTCCAAGATGCATAAAATATACTTCTATTTTCATTAAAGTACTAAATAATTACTATAATAAATTAACTTATAGTCATAAAAAACCAATGCTTACATGAAAATCTTGGTTGAGAGCCATCCCAATAGCACAAACAACCGTTGCAGAAAACCCAATAATAAATTGCATTTGCAAAACAAGCGCATAAGTCACCTCCTGTTTTGCATGTTTATAGATAAGCTCCACAAATGGCAACACCATCCCATATATAATTGCTGCACCAACTGTTAATACAAACCCAATATAGTACTTGGCCTTTGATTCCCCATTCGGCAAATCAGCATTCGCATGCACAGCGAGAACCATTGATCCAAACATTAGCAGAACCACCGCGTTTACTGTATAAGAATTAGTTTTTTGTTTCACCATGAAAACAGCAAATATGGCTGTGAAGCCGAGCTGCATTGAGATAATGAGGGAGGCGGTGGAGATCGGAAGAAAGGAGACGCCGTAGGAGTAGAGGTAGTCGTCAAGTCCTACACATGCGATTATATCTATAAGAGCATGCTAATTATGGATTTGTTTGTGATGACTTTCTTACCGCTTCTCAAAGCAGCTTTTTTAGTACAAAAAATTAAATTTTGGTACTAAAAAATACTTTAAGAAACAGCAAGAAAGTCGTATCAAACAAAGCCTATAAGAAAAATGATATTCAAATTTTGTTTCTAAAGTGCTTTTATGGTTATTAAACATAATTATATAATTGTTATGATAAAACTATTTTGGAAAATTTACATACATACCACTTTATTTCATGCTATTTACATATCTAACACCCAAAATACATTAATATTACATGTCTACCACCCATAGAACAAAATTGGGTGGTAGACATATAATATTAATGTTTTGAATTTTAGATATGTAAATAGCATGAAATAAAGTGGTATGCATGTAAATCTCATAATAGCCACCATTTGGTTGAAATTCAACTTATTGACATCCTTACCGGTGATTAGGCCAATAACGATGCAATGGAAAAGGAGAGAAGGTGTGAGCAAGAAGAGGCGAGAGTTGGTATGCCGACGACGAAGGAAGGAGAAGAGGATGGGGATGAGCAGGAAGGGGAAGCCGGCGGTTTGGACGAAGCCGGAGAACCACTTGCGGCTGCCGCCATGTCGGAAGTAGGAGCGGATCAAGAGGGGGCCGCCGGTGCCACCAATGAGGACGAAGAGAATGTTGATGAAGAGGAGGAAAAGTCTCCTCATTTTGAGTGCTCTGTGGGTTTCCATAACAATATTGTCGCTGTTGTTGGAGTGTTTGATTTCTTCATGGCTTTGGTGTTCTATTTCCATCTCTCAAGCTTTAGGCGCTATTGGCTTCCTTTTTCTCTGTATTCGATTTCTCACTCCCTGTAAATATATATAGGGAAACGCAAACGCAAACGCAAAAGCAAACGCAAACGGCTACACCATAGGAATTATAAAAATAGAGCTTAATTGTAAAATAAGACTTGATCTATTCACTAATCAAATAAATCAGCTTATTAAAATCTGATTAAAAACAAATGGAAACATTTATAATATAATATTAATAAAAAAAACTATATCATTTCATGGGGATATTTCGATGATTATTTTTTTAGAATGTATTTTAAAGTTATTTAATTTATTTTTAAATAAGAATATTGATAATCTCGAAATAAATTAATAATTATATTTTAATTAAAATATGCGGGACTACTTCTGCTCCCTTGAGAAGCCAATGGTCATGAAATTGATAATTGAACCTAGCCTAAATTTTAGTAAGATTCGTATTATATAAAATTAATTATCATTAATTTAATTAAAATAATCATGATAATTAGAGGTGTAAATAAGTCAGGTTGACTTAATTATCTACTAAATCAAAATACGCTCGTTCAATTCTTACGATGCTCGAATTAGAGCACACTTACTGAGCACAAATTCGACTCGCTTGAAACTTATTTGGCTCGAATTCAGCTTGATTGCTCGAGATTGACTAGATAAACAATAAAAAATATTTAGTATATATTTTATAATATCATTCATAAATTAAGTTTGAAATATATTTTAATTTAAACGACCAGCTAGACAAGTTTATGAGCGAAGTATAGGCTAGAGCTTAAACTTATGATTCAATAAGCTCGACTCGTGAGCGAGCTAACGAGTAGAGTTTGAGCCAACTCGACTCGCTTACACTCTTAACGATGATTATGAGCTAATATTTTTCTTTGAGTCATATCAAGAATAAATAAACAAATCATCAGCAATCAGCAACATAATTAATTGATAAAATTAGCATATAATTAATGAAATAGACAAAATTAGAAGCAAGAATCTAGTGAGAAGAGGATAGTAGAATGATCAGAAGCATTCATCTATTTATCATCGATTGATTTATTCTGAATTATTGAATTACAAATCGATGGTCTCAATGTGGTATTTTTGTTTGCTTACATTATTAAAACAAAACATTTTTCAATTTTTGCAATGGAATCTAACAATTTTTTTTTATTGGAATCACATAAAGAAAATAAAGGTTTATTAACTTAGATGTTATCATAAGCCTCTCTAACTAAAATTGGGGAAATTATAAAGATGTGTTGGCAATGTCTTTTGCGGCGTCTCTGATGCTCTCATATGTGGTCATTCATGATTACTCTCTCCGCATTATGATATTTACGAGGGTTTATTTTTATAGATATTTTGATTATGAGTCATAAAATAAATTAGGATGAGGCGTGAGTCGAGCCACCCGATTGGAATACTTAGTTTTTATTTGGGGCGGCTTTCTACAGTAAGAAAGTCGTTCCAAACGAAGCTTTAGACTTCATTTTGGATGGCTTTCTTCTTGCTTTCTAAAACAGCTTCCTAGTACAAAAAATTTTTGAATTTGAAATTTTTATACTAGAAAACCGTTTTAAAAAACAGTATGAAAGCTATCCCAAACAAAACCTTAATGAGCCTGACCTAAGCGGGTCGGAACACATGCCCCTAGTGCCCCTAACAAATAGAGTCAAAGGCTAGTTTAATATATCTTTGATTCAATGCTAATTTTGGCATACTATTGATCTACACATTGTATTATTTATGAAATTTAAATTGACCTTTATATTATTTATTAATAATATGTCAAATGATGGAGTCTAATGCATCAAGCTTTCCCAAATGGAGAGGGAGGTTCTTATTTAAAAATAATTTAAAAAAACACATAAATTTGATATTTTGTTCTTATGATGTCTATATCATCCATTTTTGGTCATTTTCATTTGACCTTTAGTAGGTTTCTTGCATTATTATGTGATACTTGGCCATTTGGGAATCTATATATTATTATTCTTATGAAAATCAATGCATTGTTTAAATAAGAAATTGATACGTTGTCAAAAAATTATCTTAATTGGGCGCGAATCTCGATGCAAAATCAAATTGGAAACTTCAAAAATTAATTAGGAGATTATCCGAACTCCGGTTTCAGCAAACTTATAGTCGAACTGAGCGTCTCGGAAATACGAACCCTACGACACCAAATTCGACTCAATCCGAGCCCAAATGGGTCCAAATCAAGGCCCGAAGCGTTGTTGGAAGGTTCGAACCACAATTTGGATTACCAAACGGCTTCTAAACATAACAAACTTATAGTCGAATCGAGCGGCTCGACGAGACGAATCCAACGAGCCCAAGGTCACCGATTTCCGACATCATTAAGATCTTCAAATGCCTAAAGAACGGTGCATGATCAAGGGATTCAACATCGGCCGTCCATCCAACCACTCCCAACTTATCCTTGATCCTCCACCAATTTACGGGCCATGCCATTCCCAAAATCTATAAATAGAGCTCCTTCTCCTCATGAGAAAGGACCCCCTGAAGCCTAAGGAAAAAAGAGAAAGATCGCTCTTACTTCCTAGCCTCCTCGACCACCACCGGAGTTTCGACGGACCACTGCCAGAGTTCCGACGGACTACCGCCGGAGTTCCGCAGGACCACCGCCGGAGTTCCGCAGGACCACCGCCGGAGTTCCACCGGACCACCACATGACGCCCTGTGCTCCACCGGACCACCGCCTAACGCCGTTGCTCCGTTGGACCACCATCTAACGCCCCGTGCTCCAACGGACCACCGCCTAAAGTCATTGCTCCGCCGGACCACCACCTGACGCCTTGTGCTCCATCGGACCACCGCCTAACGCCGTCGCTTCACCGGACCACCACTTTAGGCCCTCACCTCCGCCGGACCACCGCCTGACGCCATTGCTCTGCCGGATTATGATCACTTGAGGCCCTCACCTCCGCCGGACCACCGCCTGACACCGTTGCTCCGCCGAACTACCACTTAAAGCCCTATGCTCCACCAGGCCACCACGTGAGGCCTGGACTTCCACCGGACCACCACCTGATGCCGAGAGTTCTCCTAAAGTATCGCTATCCTACTACGGTCTTTCAGACTCCTATCTCATGCCGTCGACTACGGTCCTCCCGACCTCCGTCGCCAACTATGGTCACTCCGACCTCCATCACCAGACTATGGTCTTCAAGACCCTAGTCTCTTACCGACTACGGTCTTCCAGACCTTTGTCACCTACTATGATCCTTCCGACCTCCATCAACATACAATGGTTTTTCAGACCCCGGTCTCCTGCCGACTACGGTCCTCCCAACCTCCGTCGCCTACTATGGTCACTCCGAACTCCATCACCAGACAACGGTCTTTCAGACCCCGGTCTCCTGCCAACAACGGTCTTTCACTCGTATCTCCTGTCGACTACGGTCCTCCCGACCTCCGTCGCCTACTATGGTCACTCCGACCTCCATCACCAGACAACGGTCTTTCACACCCCGGTCTCCTACCGACTACGGTCCTTCCGACTTCAGTCTCCTCCAATGGTCTTTCCAACCAAATAAATATGTCTATGTTGAGTATTGTAACTCCCACCATGTAATGCGCTCTATATGACATACATTTGTAACATTAGACCAAGGTCTTCTCCCTAAGAAGGGCCTCATTTGTAATCGACTACAAATACAAGTGGATTCATTCAAACTGGGCCAGGCCCCGTGGTTTTTTCCACTTTTCAGGAGTTTCCATGGAAAAACTCTGGTGTCTCTTATGAATGCTACACCCTCTCACTTATCTGATTGTGTGCTGGATCTTCGTACAATGCTAAGACGTTAAACTATATATTACTCTACCGCCGTGAATATTCCAGGGCGCAACAGAAATATTTGGAAATGTAAACAATAAAAAAGTTAATTCACTTGATAAATTCGATGAAAATAGAAACAACCGAGAAATACAAACAGAATAAGAACGCAAATCACTCTTTAATATCAGGCTTCATTAGGGACAGCTTTCTTACTACTTTTTGAAACATCTTTTTAGTTCAAAAATTTTTAATTAAAAAAAATATACTAAAAAGCTGCTTTAAAAAGCAGCAAATTTTTTTTTTTTTTTAGTTTACAACGTTTTTGAACCTTTCTAAAACAACTTTCTAGTATAAAAGTTTTTTGAATTATAATTTTTTGTACTAGAAAGTTATTTTAGTAAACATTAAAAAAGCTATCCTAAATGAAGCCTTAGTTAGTAGAATTATTTGAATATGGAGAATGATATTTTGTGAATTTGTCTAAGGCTTCGTTTGGAACAGCTTCCTTACTGCTTCTTAAAGAAGCTTTTTATTACAAAAATTTTAATTTTTGTACTTAAAAATTGTTTTAAGAAACAATAAGAAAGCCGTTCCAAACGAAGCCTAAGCTGCATTATAATTCATTAATTTTTAGAATGTTTAGCTTTTTGGTCTTTACCATATATGTTTCATGTAAGAAATGCAAATGATCTTGGAATATGTTGGAATATGAGTATCGTATGCTTATAAAATAACAGGTAGATTGAAAATATTTGGGGCTTATAATCTTTAGCAATATACATATTGCCTATAGAAGAAATTGAATGAGATAGCCCAATTATACGTAGGGGTGTCAATTTCGGGTCACGGGTCGGGTTCGGGTGGAACCCGAAACTGACCCGGCACTATTCGGGTCAACCCGAACCCGACCCGTTTTTAAAAACGGGTCGGTTTCCTTGACCCGAACCCGACCCACTTCGGGTCCGGGTCAACCCGACCCGACCCGAATGACCCGTTTTCAACCAAAAAATTGCTAATTTTCGGGTCAAAAACGGGTCAATCTCCTCTTTTCGGGTCAAAATCGGGTCAAAGTCGGGTCAATCTCGGGTTGGCGGGTCAAAATCGGGTTTTCGGGTCAAAATCAGGTCACTTTCGGGTCAATTTCGGGTCAAAGGGTTAACCCGAACCCGACCCGATTTTTGAAACGGGTCGAAATGTTGAACCCGAACCCGACCTGTTTCGGGTTCGGGTTGACCCTAACCCGAAATTTTTGGGTCGGGTTCGGGTCGGGTTTTCGTGTCGTGTCAAATATTGACACCCCTAATTATACGAATCCAAAGCTACTTAATCCAACTTCTAATCATGTTTAAGTTAGGACAAACACTACATAGCGTAGTCAGACAATCATAATAGGTGTATCAATTAAAATTATGTCGATAAATAAAAGCTCTCGTATAACTCGAATCCGACCCAATATTTCAATCGGGTCAAAAAATTAAGCCCGAACCTGATCTATTTGCTAAACGGGTCGGCCCGAACTTATCCGAGTTGGATCATATAGTTTAGATATAGGTTGAGGTTGCATTTCTTATGAGAAGAGCCAACTTATGAAAAGAATTTTTATCAAATGTTCTAATTGTTAAGTAAGTGAGGAGTCTAATTTTTTTCCCAAGAGAAAAATATGTTACACATATTTAGGTCTCGTTTGATATTACTTATTTTACTGCTTCTCAAAATGATTTTTGTGTATAAAAATTAAAATTTTTGTACAAAAAAACTGTTTTAAAAAGCAACAAAAAAATCACCGCAAAAAAACCTTAGTCACCAGCTAATGATTTGCAAGTGCATTTCTTTTATTAACCCTCTAATCACAATGAATTAATTTATAGTTGATTGTGGGTTACCCAAATCTTTTCATAAATTGATCACATTAGGTGTTGTGATAAGCAAATTTTTAAAAATTCATAAATTTGTGATGTTTATTTTTTAACATTAATACATCTTAATCAATTCATTAGATCTTGAAAACTTTCATAATTATTTTCAAATTTAATTTCAATAAATTTATAATCAAATTGAATGTCTGACAAGAAGAAACCAACGACACCAAAAGTGATTTAATCTTAGTTTAAATGAGCTGAAATAAAAAAATTAAATTAAAGTTAAAAATTTCATAGTATTGATTGAATAATTAAATGATATTGAAATTTGGCATGCTTATAGTCAAATCAAATAGGTCGACATGATGAATATGAAAAGCCCACTGTATTTTGAAATCGTTGAGGCACTCAAATCTTTAATGAACGATTTATGAGTAAAGGATTTAACATAAGACGTCAAATGAAGTGTTATGAAAATTTAGCTGAATTTACTAAAAAGACACTAAAAAAATATTGTAATAAGCATCATTCTCCACATAAAATAGGCATAAACTTGAGTTTGGGGAGTGCTTAGAGATCTAAAGAACTCCAGAGCTACACGTTGTGTTCAATGTTGACAACCACAAATACCTACCATCATCATTCGACTCAGGGCTGTCAATAATTGACACGACCCGAAAACCCGACTCGAACACGACCCAGAATTTTCGGGTTGGACACGACCCGTTCGAAAAACGGGTCGGGTTCGGGTTCATATATAAAAGTGACCCGGATGGAATTTCGGGGCGGGTCCGGGTTAACCCGGTAACCCGCTAACGACCCGTTTCGACCCGCGGTATATTTTACGCGGCGTAAAACATGTATAAATGCAAAACTTGTATTATATATTTTGTAATCCCATCTTATCCAATTAAAGAGAATGATAGACTTATAAAATATCTACATATTGGGTCATTTCAAATGTTCTTTACTTTTTTTTATTTGTTATTTGTAAGAAAAAAGATTTGACTCTAATATTTAAATAAATGAACTATTGTAACTTGTAAGCAATTTATTGTAAGCTATTTTCTTATACTTTTTTATGATAATGATTTAGTCTTCTTTACTTTATAAGATAATTTGTTTATTTTATTTTTAATTATTATTTGCTAAACAATTAAGAATAATTTGTTTTGGATAATTTTTTCATTTTTTTACTTTTTAGATAGCATCAACAATTTTATTTAGATATTGCTTTTCGCAGCTTTCTCATTACCTTTAAAAAAAAAATTATGATAAAAAGCTATTTTTTATAATCATCATAACAGCTTAGGTTTCGTTTGGGACGAATATCTTACTGCTTCTTAAAGTAGTTTTTTAATACGAAAATTTTTCTAATAAATTTTTTTTACTAAAAAGCCGATTTATAAAACAACAAGAAAATTGTCACAAATGAAGTCTTAGGCTTCGTTTGGGACGACTTTTTAGCTGCTTATTAGTACAAAAATTTAAAAAGATGATTTAAGAAACAGTAAGAAAGTCGTCTCAAATGAACCTTAGACTTTGTTTGTGACAGTTTTCTCATTATTTTATTTTTCAAATGACAACCAATCATAATTTCTATTTGATCAGTTACTTTTTTCGCTTCAAAATATTTTTGTATCAAAAAGTTATTTTTTACATTAAATGTAAAAATTTATTTTTTTCTAAACTGTTTTATAAAATATTAAAAAAATAATTTCAAGCTACGGGAGCCCCAACCAAATCCTAATTAATCTTTAATCTTTAATGATAATATTGTAAATTCATATGTACGTCACTACGAACAGCTTACTAGAACTTGATTAGGTATATTTCATCGCCGTCGAGCGGTGGAATGAGCATCCCCGAATGTTCGACTGATTGAGAAAATGGTACGGATCCACGTAAAGGCGGCGGCGGCGGAGGCGGAGGCGGAGGAGCAGCAGTTCCTCTACAGTTGTTCTTGCGATTCAAGCATCGCCGACTTAGCCGACGCGATCTGAGTAGCGATGATGAGTACCCTTCTAAACTTATTGTGATGTCATTTGTGGGAAAAAAGTTATTGCAACCAGGTGGCATTTGGAGGGCTAATCAAACAGATACTAAGTATAAAATACAAATTGCCGCCTTGGATGGCAATATCTCAATTCGCAAGTCCGTATAAAATTATATTGTTGACTCACATTTTATTGAATGATGAATTATTTGAAGGGTTAATTTGAGCTAATAACTCAAGCTTTCAACTAATTCATGGATTTAAAATTATATCTATTTAATTGTTTATCTTTTTTGCAGTTAGCTTATATCTCCAGGACTCCATGAGTGCAGGCAGACAGGCACAACTTCACAAGACTTCAATTAGTCAAGGAGTTCAAAATTTTTGTAAATTGTAATATTCGTTTGAATTATCTGTAAATTGTAATTATTTGTTTAATTTATTTGTTAGTTTAATATTTTGTATATTGTAATTAGCAAATTGCTTCTAATTCATAAATAAAAAATTTTTTTATGTAATTTTTTGTTTAAATTTAACTGTGTTGATGTTTTTTTTTTTTTTTAAATATTAATGAAAATTACTCGGGTTAGCGGGTCAATCCGGGTTGACCCGAACCCGACTCGGGTCGGGTTCGGGTCTTGAATAGTAACCCGTATCCAAAACCGGGTCGGGTTCGGGTCAACCCGTTTAGCTTCGGGTCATTTCGGGTTAGACACGAACCCGACCCGTGACCCGAAATTGACACCCCTAATTCGACTGTAGTTGTTTGATTGTTGTTTCTCAATCATATTCGTTTGACAATTGTCGCCTGATTGTCATAATTCATTATCGACCTTTGATAGTCATCATGAAATAATATTCGCCTGATTGTTATCAGCCTGCCATCATCATCCAATCATTGTCGCTCAATTAATCCCATCCAGCTAATACATCTCCATCATTCTTTTTCACATTTACATAAATGCAAAACTTGTATTATATATTTTGTAATCCCATCTTATCCAATTAAAGAGAATGATAGACTTATAAGATATCTACATATTGGGTCATTTCAAATGTTCATTACTTTTTTTATTTGTTATTTGTAAGAAAAAAGATTTGACTCTAATATTTAAATAAATGAACTATTGTAAGCAATTTCTTGTAAGCTATTTTCTTATACTTTTTATGATAATGATGTAGTCTTCTTTACTTTATTAGATAATTGTTTATTTTATTTTTAATTATTATTTGCTAAACAATTAAGAATAATTTGTTTTGGATAATTTTTTCATTGCTTTACTTTTTAGATAGCATCAACAATTTTATTTTGATATTGCTTTTCTCAGCTTTCTCATTACCTTTAAAAAAAGCTTTATGATAAAAAGCTATTTTTTATAATCATAATAACAGCTTAGGTTTCATTTGGGATGACTTTCTTACTGCTTCTTAAAGTAGTTTTTTAATATAAAAAATTATCTAATTAATTTTTTTGTACTAAAAAGCTGATTTATAAAACAACAAGAAAATTGTCACAAATAAAATCTTAGGCTTCGTTTGGGACGACTTTCTAGCTGTTTGTTAGTACAAAAATTTAAAAAACTGTTTTAAAAAGCAGTAAGAAAGTCGTCTCAAAGAAGCCTTAGACTTTGTTTGTGACAGTTTTCTCATTATTTTATTTTTCAAATGACAACCAATCATAATTTCTATTTGATCAGTTACTTTTTTCGCTTCAAAATATTTTTGTATCAAAAAGTTATTTTTTACATTAAATGTAAAAATTTATTTTTTCTAAACTGTTTTATAAAATATTAAAAAAATAATTTCAAACGAAGCCTTTGCTTTCTCTGTAATAACTTCACAGTTAACTTTGTTAGAAGCTACGGGAGCCCCAACCAAATCCTAATTAATCTTTAATGATAATATTGTAAATTCATATGTACGTCACTACGAACAGCTTACTAGAACTTGATTAGTGTTCCGAATAGGGGTGTTCGGGTCGAATCCGGAACTGACTCGGCACTATTCGGGTCAACCCGAAACCGAAATGGGCCAGGTTTCCGGACCCCAACCCGACCCGATTCAGATCCGGGTCAACCCGATCCGACACGAATGACCTAAAATTGCTAGTTTTTTGGGTAAAAAAACGGGTCAATCTTCGATTTTCGGGTCAAAATCGAGTCAATTTCGGATTTCTGGGTCAAATAGGATTTTTCATGTCAATTTCGAGTTGCTAGGTCAACCCAAACCCGACCAGATTTTTAAAATGGGTTGATTTGTTGAACCCGAATCCGATCTGTTTAGGATCCGGGTTGACCCTAACCCAAATTTTTTCGGGTCGGATTCGTGTCTGTTTCTGGTGTTGTAAAAAAGGAAAAATTATTCCGTCAGGTTACCTGACGTAGAGATACATCATGTAGCCTATAATACGTCGTCACGTGCACTTACTTTTTACGGCGCGGCCCGACGACCCAATTCGGACCGAATCCGGGATTACTATGTTCGCGTATTGCTCGGTATTTGCTCGGTATTGCTAGGTATTACTTGATATTGCTTGTCAATAACAATAAATACTGCTCTGTAAAGACCAATACTGAGCAATACCTAAAAGAACTCGGTATTAATACCGAGCAATACCAAGTAATACCTAAAAGAACTCTGTATTGCGCGGTATTGCTCGGTATTGTGCGGTATTGCTCGGTATTGGTCTTCATAGAATAGTATTTTTCATTTTTGTCGAGCAAAATGGATCAATACCTAGCAATACCGAGCTACGCCAACTCCCGGGTCTGCTCCGGTAAAAAATAAGTGCACGTGTCAGCATATTATAGGCTACCTGATGTATCTTTAGGTCATTAAGCTGATGGAATAATTTTTCGTAAAAAAGTGACACCCTAATTAGTTATATGTCATCGCCGTCGAGCGGTGGAATGAGCATCCTCGAATGTTCGACAGATTGAGAAAATGGTACGGATCCACGTAAAGGCGGCGGCGGAGGAGCAGCAGTTCCTCTACAGTTGTTCTTGCGATTCAAGCATCGCCGACTTAGCCGACGCGATCCTCGAGATTTATAATCTTCAGGCTTGGATCCAAGCTCTCTGCGTCCATGTCCGGCAATACCTTCTCACCGATGCTTTTAGAGGTATCCTCTCTCGCGACTTCTTCCTGCCATCTAAGTTTTCGCCTTTTGATTACGCAGAGCTTGTAGCTTACAATTTAAGAGAGTTGCCATTTGCGAATGATAAAAGACTGTTTTTTTTCAAAAAGTTATTAGATGATCTATGGACGCAGAGAGCTAGAAAACGAGCACATAGGTTGGAGTAGCTCTAGTGAAAGATAAAAATAGAGAGAGTTGCCTTAGATGATTTGGTCACATAAAAAGGCGGCCTTTCCATGACCTGATTAAGAGAGTAAATATATTAGATTTGACTTGTGTTAAAAAAGATAGAGGTAGATTAAAAAGACTCGGTTAGAAGCTTGGGGGATTTGCATACATATCGTTTTATTTCATGTTATTTATATATCTAACATTTAAAACTTTAATATTACATGCATACCACCAATAAAATAAATATGGGTGCATAGAATGAAACATTAAAGTTTATATGATGGTATGAGTGGTAAGAATAAAATATATGAGTGATATATTTGATATTAAAATTTTATATGTGTGGTAAAAATATAATATTAAAATTTTTGGTGTTAGATATATAAATAATATGAAATAAAGTGGTATGTATGTAAATCTGCCTAGAAAATATTAGAAATGACTTTTCTTTATTATATTTAGGCTTAGTTTGAGACTTTTTTTTCTGCTTCTTAAAACGATTTTTTAGTCTACTAGAACGCTGCTTTAAGAAGTAATAAAAAAACCGTCCCAAATGAAGCCTTAAATTAAAATTTGACTTTTAACTAGGCAAAATGGAGAAAAATGATTCATGTAGTTGACCCATCTAATAGGATAAAGGTTTGATGTTGTTGTTATTGTGATGGTCTATAGGGTTTTCAATGGCTATGCTTTTACCATAATGAACGAAAGATTGCATTATTTCTTGCCAAGAATAGTAGTTGAATCAAAGCCTTATGACATGGTCCCAAGGAGCTGCTTGGTTGGATTTAATGCAAGTTGGATTTAGTAAATTTGTAAATCCAGATCTAGTAAATGGTAGGATAGTAATAAAATTTTAAGCTAAACTAAATGTGAACAAACACATCAAAAATAACAATCACATTACACCAAAAATTAATGCGGTTCCGTAAGTTCCACTTATGTTCTCAATGCACAAAGACCAAATAATTTTGCTAATCTTTAAAAAAGTTACATAGAGATATTACACTTCATTTGAAGAAGAACAAAGATATTGCTTTGTCCCTGTTAGTGTTTAAAAGCAAACCCAATTGCTTGTTGTACAGACAATGGCCGAATGTGGAGAATAATACACTGATAATATTTCATGTTCTTTTTTCTCTTTTCTATTATGAGATATTTTTTCCTCTTCCCTTAGCTGTTGCGAGAGCTTCTCCCTATTATGACAGAAACCTTTATCCCCTCTTCCCTCTCTATTCCTCTTTTCTCCTTCGCTTTATTTGTTTGTGATTGATGAAAGTAATATTAACACATTAACCATGATTAAGTTACTTAAACTAATTATGGTAAAATTAATTAATTCTATATCACAATAGTTCAGTAATATTTTAGTATATGATTTGACAGATATTTTCAATATTTTGGATTCAAATGAACTAGAGAAGGGATACAACAAGGAGAATTGATATAAATCTCTTAAATCCTACTTTCTCATGATTTACAAAATTGAAACTTTAGCCTAAAACAGTAGAAAAATGAGATAGGAAGGTAGGATTTATGTGGCTCAAAAAACTGTTTGACAATTATAGCTAAATCTTGCAACAAAACAGCTACTGAAAGCCACTTAAATCAAATGGGAGTCTTTTACCCAATTATATTCTTATTTCAAAATCTTTTCTTTGGAGAAAGATAACTGAATGTATCTACCCTTTCTATGTTTCAGAGAATTGCGCAGGTGTTGCGGATGTTCTTGATAGAACTTTATCAGAAGCAGGGACATATGCATCCAAGGTGACAATTATTTTATTCTTGCAAATTTGCTGTTTATTTATTTCTAAATTTACTGTGCCTTGTTATCTTGGTTGAGTGGAATTCATTTTACAGTATTATCTCTTGAGTATTTGGTATTAACCATACTAATAACAGCTCGCTATTGCTTGCAGGAGCAAGTTTTACATCAAAGGTTTTTATCATCTCACTTTCTCCGAGACCATATTCAAACGATAGAAAAGGAAGTCAAGATTGCTCGTTCAAGGGGTTTGCCAGAATCAAATACTCAAATAACAACTTTTAGTAACAACTTCCACACTTCTTAAAACTTTTAATACAATAATTATCATTAAAATTTTGGAGATTTATTTTGTATGAATTTATCATCATTATACAGGAGATGTTAACTCTTAGAGATAGATATGAAATGTACATTTACATGAAAAGATTGGAGTAGCGTCAGTGGAAGATAAGATTAGAGAGAGTTGCCTTAGATGGTTTGGTTACATAAAATGGCGGCCTTCCGATGACCCGGTTAGGAAAATAGAGGTATTAGACTTGACTTATGTTAAGAAAGGTAGAGGTAGACCTTAACAGACTTGGTTAGAAAATATTAAAAATGATCTTTCTTAATTAGATTTGAATGAGAATTTGACTTTTAATATAACACAGGAGAAAAAGAATTCATGTAGCCGATCCCACGTAGTGGGACAAAGGCTTGATGTTGTTGTTGTTGTATACAGGAAATGTTAACTCTTGTTTAATTCAGTGTTTTTCTTTGAACTCAATGTTCTGCATGAATTGAATTTATGTGTGGTATTTATTGATGAATTTTGTTTTATCTTATTATAATGTGAAGCTCATATGAAGTTATTTATCTTATGCAGCTCCAGAACTCCATAAAGATGTTCAGCTTATATGGGCAGGAAAAGAGTTATCGAGGGGGAAACGGTTATGTGACTATATTGGTGGAAATGAGAAAACAAAGGTTGATTATTTTCCTAACGGTATATCAACTTTTGTATGAAATCTCTAACATTAGATTGTTCTCTTGTTGATAGATTACAATCAAATTGAAGTTGGGCTGTGAAGACTTGGAAAATAGAATGGTAAATACTTTAGCCACTGAATTGAAAAACACAACAAGATTCCATATTTATATTTTATTTGCCTACTGGTTATTTTCCAGGTCACAAATGTACAAGAAGGTTGCTGACAGTTAGTATTGTTGATTCTTACTAGCCAAAGCAACTTAATGGTCCCTTGACAGTTAGTCTCTCTCTCTCTCTGCTAGTGGTTTTGAAAGAGCATGACCACATAGAAGCTCAGGTGTTTTTTTTTTTTCTTGCTTTTGGAGGTCATATAATTCTCGGTCATGATTTGAAGTGAGTGGCACTTATAGATTATTGAAACATTTACTAAACCTGTACTACTGTCATAGTTGTTAGCTGAGTTCTTAAATAGTGTTGACAAGTTGTTTTCTTTGTTGTCATGCTTATGGAATTAGTATCTAAAATGAATTGTTAATTCTCTATATTTGTATCTGCAATTAGTAGTATGGAATAAATTTGGCGATTACAATTTATGTTGATTTTATGTAGTTTGAAAGGATTGTGTGAGCACAGATGAACAAACCTTTAAGTTTAAGCAGGAGCCATAAAGCAACTTAAAACATTTTATATCAGTTAGGTGTAGCATAGAGAGTGCTGTCTGACTTTCCAATTTCATCAAATAAATTTTCTAATATCAATTTTATTCACATGCCTTGTTGTCCTTTAATTTTTGTAGAACACCCAAATGTTTCTCTTATTGATCTATTTTATTGTTCCACCATAATTTTCTAAAACATTTCTTTTAAAATTAAATCTAAGAAACAATGTATATATAATAAAATGATGTGCTTTATTTTCAATTTTCTCAAAAACAGTCTTAAAATTTTCTTATTTATTCTTACCTTAAATATTCTTTTTTTTTTTTGCACAATCATCCATCTCCTCTTGATATATTATTTTCCTACGCTCCAAAATTTTGATAGAATTTCTTTTTGATTAGATTATTAATCTAAAGGTTATAATTATGAAATTATAAAGATTCTAGACTGATCATACTTATTTCATATCTAGAGAAAAAGTGAAAAACAAAATAAATACATCTCCAATACCTAAACTCATTTTTCTCTATTTGAAATCAATGTGTAAGGCTTCGTTTGTAACAACTTTCTTAATTTTTTTTTAAGCAAATTGGCAACTTTCTTACTGTTTTGCTTTTCAGACCGCAATCACAATTTCAGTTTGGCCACTACTTTTTTGCTGCTCTCAAAAAATTTTTTGTACTAAGAAGCTACTTTCTACAACAACTTTAAAAAGTTAATTTTTCTACAGTAAAATAATAAGAAAGTTATCCCTAATGAAACCTAGGTCATGCTTATCTCTTTCTCACGCAAAACCCCACTCTATTCCTCCACTCCAAACTCCTAAAACAATTTTGTTAACATTTGTGAAACTAAAAATAGGGTTTTCCATTTAATCAAATATAAACTATGGGTTAGGTTTACCTTATCTCTAAGTCTAGTATACTTGAGAAACTGTTCTTGGTCTTCTTTACCCTATTTTGTTTGAATGGCATCGTCCTCACCTAATCACCTTAATCAAAATCACATAGGAATTTAACAATTACATCTAGGATTTCCTGATTTACAAATGAAATCTAGATTAAATCTTGTCCTTAAGCTTGAAGAAAAAAAACTTAGCTCTTCCCTCAGATTCACGCACGAATAACTCATTAAATCCCTCAGTTGCCCGGTCATGGCCTCTTTCCATCTCTTTGTAGATCCTTTGCTTTCTCCCTCCACTACTCCTTTATCATGCTCGTCTCTTTATCTTAATCTCCCTCATGCAATCAATCAATACTCTACACTTTCATATGAGACGAAATCACAACATCAGTTCTATTGAACCGACACTACCGGTTAATTTATGAACCGGGTTTTTTACACTTTTCTTCACGCATGTTCAGTATTATTCAGTTATGTTATTGTTTTTCAGCATTTAAACTCTTAGAAGTTATTCTACATCTAGTTTGCTACAAAATTAATCCTGATGAACAATTTGTTAGGAAATACTTGAAAAATAGCCGGAAAACTCCACAAATCCAATTGAAAACAAGAAAAACTATAATTTTTATTGACGAAAGAAATAAAAGCAAGATACAATTGATCCTCAATTTGAGAGGAGGATCAAACTCTCCCAATCCCTAGACGCCGCTAGAGCCCAAAAAATCTAAACCTAAGAGATCTCAAATTTCAGCCAAATTCCATATGCTCTAACCCTAGGAAAACAAACTATTTAATGTATACAATCCAAAAGGAAATCTCTAAACAGTTCCTACATTCAAATTTATCTCTCAACTCCCCCAAAAATTCTTCCTAAACAGCTTGGTTGGCCCGAGTGTGCGTTCAGCGCTTACAGTAGGCAGAAATTCCACCTTTTTCGTCCATAAGCCGGTTCCGTATGCACCGGTTGGACTGGTCCAGTGGACCGGCCTAATACAATTCTAGCATGATGTTATCTAGTTGCTAGAATCAAGGAATAGGTTATCCATTTATAGCCATATTATCCGTGTAGGATAGTGGTTACTAAACTTGAACACATATGCACATGCACTTGACACTGAGCTGTGGTGCTAATTCATGACAGACGAGAAGCATCTTTTCCATCATAAAATGACAATAAGGATCTATCTTTTCCAATATACCTTTCTTTTGAAATTTTCTTTTCCAATGTGAACCAACATTGTTATCTGCAAATTTTTAAATCATGGAAGTTATGAACGTTGTTGATATCTTTCCATTTTTCATCATAGATAAAGATCTTCGTATCATCAGCTATTCATTTCCCAAACTTTATGTTTTTTCATCTGTTTTCCTTGCAGAAAATGATATATGTTTACAGCTAGTACCATGTGCCTCTCATGCTTATTGTCTGGGTTGATCTGAGGTCTTTGGGATAAAAATCAGATTTACGAAGTAAGTTGTAGCTTTTGCCGCCTCCATTCAGGCTTCGTTTGGGACGGCTTTCTTACTGTTTCTTAAAGCGATTTTTTAGTACAAAATTTAAAATTTTTGTACTAGAAAGACTCTTTAAGAAGTAGGAAGAAAGCTGTCCCAAAGGAAGCCTCAATAAAATATTATGAATGTTTCGTACATTTATTTTCTGTTCACCAAAATCTGGGTTGTTACGTAGTTACTCAGCAACTTCCTTGAAAGAGAGTTACATATTTGTTTCTTTTGGAGAAGTTTATCTTTATTGCAGTAGTCTGAATATTTTTGCACTGTTTTTTGCAACTGCAAGCTATGAATCTATTATAAATTTAAGTTCTAACTCTGAGTAAGGACTAAGGAATAGCCTAAGTTTGCATTTGAGGCTTATTAATTATACATATCTTACCATTTGGTTGGATTCTATTGAAAAATTATAAAGTAATTTGACTTCCATCAACCCTTTAAATTGTCAAGATTTTATTTTTACAAGAAAAATGGCCAAATACAAAGTCAATGTAGGTAATGATGCTGTTCACAACAAAAATGAGCATTTGTAAGCTCTAGCTGGTTTTCATGGTATTTGGTAGAATTTAAAGTTAAAACATATATTAAGTGTAATTAATAAACATAGTTAATTATTAAATTTAAGTTTAAATGTAACTAAATATGAATTTAAATTTAAAAGCAGTGGCATACATGATGTGATGGCCAAGTATTATGTAACTTTTAAAGATCAAATTGTGCTGTGTCATATGATGTTTTATTTAATATTTTTTAATTCAAGTTCAAAATTTCATCATTTGATGCTCCTAGGATGTGCACAGTATCCTCTCCTGAAGTAATAATGTACACAACTTTAGTAGGTGCAAAGATTTAAATATTATCGTATTAGACTTCGTTTGGGATGGCTTTCTTACGGCTTCTTAAAACAGTTTTTTGTACTAAAAAGTTGTTTTAAGAAGCAGTAAGAAAGCTGTCCCATGCTTCGTTTGGGATGGCTTTTTTATTTCTTCTTGAAGCAACTTTTTAGTATAAAAATTAAAATTTTTGTGCTAAAAAACTGCTTCAAGAAACAGTAAAAAAGCCGTTCAAACGAAGCCATAGTGTTACTATTGGTATAGTTGGCTGACATGCTATTGTAGGTGGTTATGATTTATTACGCTATCTTTATGATGTTTTGAGTTTAGGGGGCATTGCTGAGTGCTGACTGTTGTGGACTGTTGTTGGATTTATTATCAGAAGTTCAATTTATTGGAGCTTAATTTTTCAAGCTAGGAAGCAGATTATCAGGTGGTGAATTGGAATTAATATTTTATGAAATTTAAATTGTTGAAGTAATTGATTATTGGTGGGATGTGAATCATTTATTTTCCTTTGCAATGAAAATATTCTACACATCATATTAGTTGTATTAGAAAATCTAATCGTAAGCCATCAACCTGTGCAGAGAATGCATTCAAATTTATAACAACAACAACATCAAGCCTTTGTTGTCACTACGTGGGGTCGGTTACATGAATCATTTTTCTCCATTGTATCCTGTTAAAAGTCAAATTCTCGTTTAAATCTAATAAAGAAAGATAATTTCTAACACTGTCGTTGCCAGGTCCCAAGTCCTGAATGAGAAAAGTTGAGGGTTGCGTTAGGTAGTCGACAACCACTGTAAAAATTATCGAATAATCATGACATGAATCGTTTAATACATTGTGATAATGCATTCAAATTTATATGAAAATATATTTATGCTAGTTTGAACCGTTGTGATTTATTTAGAGGCTTTTTTCTATTGTAACTATTCTATTCGAATTAGTATCAAACATGGCAGCTGAATAGAATAATTTTTATAGCTATATGAATTGATTTTTATCTAAATTTGAAAGATATAACAACTGAAATAAGAAATAATTAGGTTTACTTCATAGTTATTGTTGTCATTATCATTGTTCTGCTGTGATGGAATCATTTAGGCTAAATTATTTCATTCTTTTTCTTTAAATCTTAATTCTTCCACTACACCAAATCACACTATTGGATTCTAATCTTCAAGCCAAAATCCATCCCAACTCATACTGCCAAAATCTATATATTCGAATCTCAAATAACTTGAAAACAAAAGAAGAAGGAAAAAAGAAGAAAATCCAGTTTGGAACATTACAATAATTTCCTTGTTATTCGGCTTATCAAATCCCTCTCTCCTTCATCTCAATATTCAGAAGCTATCATAGCAGAAGACAATGAACTAAGTGCTACATTAACGATTCACCTGCACTCTTCCTTCCATCCATAAATCTACTGTGATTTCTTACAGTAAGCTATAGCTCCCATTACAGAACGCTCCATCTCTGAGCTCATGCTGCTGCTTCTCTTCAGTGTATGTGAGATTCTGCTCACACTTGAAAACGAAGATGAAGAAGTTGAGCTCAGTGAAGTTGCTGACACAGATTTGCTTGTAAGATTCCTCAAAAAAACAGAGTTATGTGACTTCCTGTAACTCCATTCAGCTTCCTTCTTCGTGGTGATAAGTGATTTGAAATAAGCTTTCGATATTTTGAACCTGACCAAGGATTGCCCAATGCCCTTCAGCTTCTTTGACCATGATTTGTTGCTTTCTAACTCGATTGAAGAAACAATGTCGATCTCACCAGCTGTAGTCATGGTTTCTGAATCCTTGAGGAGCTTTTCCTCCTCAAAGGAAAAAAGATTTCCTTTGTCGAAGTGCTCGTCTGCTGTGGAGATACTTGTTTGTTTATGTGGTGGGTTGCTTGCAAGATGGAACTCAAATTCTTTGTGATTTGGAGAGGAAATGTGGTAGCAGAATATTGTTGTAGATCTTATATCCATGTCGATGTATTCTTCTACTTCTGCTGACTGATCATTTGCAGAGAATTGATCTGCCATGTCTAACTTTGGGGAGGTAGACTGAGCTAAGGGTGGGGCTTTTAAAGCTTGTCAAAATTTGCAAATCCTAATATAAATCACATCATAATAGACTCGAAAACCATTAGATTTGCTTTGAAATTAGTGTTATATACAAAGAGTTTAGGTCCATCTTTATACAATTTATATGAAGATATCTTGATACAATTTTTACTCTCCAGAGAGATCGATCTCCAACACTAGAGTTTTGTTTGGGACAGCTGTTTTACAGCTTCTTAAAGCAGTTTTTAGTACAAAAATTAATTTTTTTGTATCAAAAAGCTGCTTTAAGAAGTAGAAAGAAAGCCGTCTCAAACGAAGACTGATAGCAAAATATGTGCAACAGTGGTGGGATCCTTTATGTATAAATGTGACATCTCTAATGTCACGGTTCACACTTTGTTTTCTTGTGAAGCTGTCTTCTTTCCCCCTCCATTATGTTTTCATGTTTGTATCTCTATGTACAGTATTTGTTTTACTGTAATTTACTGAATTTGCTTCTTGTTTTCATTAAGGCATGAATTAGCTTTAGGCTTCATTTGGGGTGGCTTTCTTGCTGTTTCTTAAAGTAGTTTTTTAGTACATTTTTGTACTAAAAAGTTGTTTTACGAAGCATTAAGAAAGTCATCTCAAATGAAACCTTAATATTCAATTAAGTAAAAATATATTAATATAAAACACTAATTAAGATGTAATTTAAAATTAATCTCTTGAGATTTACAGTCCCTAATAATTTAGAGTGAAAGTGGCCCAATAGAGTGAATGAGAAGGGAGTGGTGGCATATGAATAAAGGTAATTTGGATAAGACTATTCAACAGTATTTGACGGCAAAATATGGTTCACATAACTAGCCAGCTTCAAATCTGTATCATTGTATGGTTGTAATAAGCTTACAAAGGTTTTCATATCTTAAAATAAAATTAATTATTATAAATTATTTTTAACACTATTGTTGTCAGGTTTCAAGATTAGAATGAGAAAATTGATGAGTTGTATTAGGTAGTTGACAGTCAACATAAAATTTGACGAATAATTATGATATGAATCTTTTATTGACTCTTAATAGGATACAATGGACAAAAAAAAAAACTTTTATTGTTAAAACATCTATAATTTTTAGAGAGTGGGCCAAAGATAATGATTAAGATTTCGTTTGGGATAATTTTCTTATTGCTTTCTAAAATAGTTTTCTAGTACAAAAATTTTTAGTACTTAAAAGCAGCTTTAGAAAGCAGTGAGAAAGCTGTTTCAAATGAAATCTAAGGCTTCGTTTTGGGCAATTTTCGTACTGCTTTCTAAAACGGCTTTTAAGTACAAAATTTTCAAATTCAAGAAATTTTTTTACTAGAAAGTTGTTTTAGAAAGCAAGAATAAAGTCGTCCCAAAAGAAGCCTAAATCATTTTTATTTTAATGTCATGTGTTAGAAAAATGAGTAGATGATTTCCACTAGACCTTATAGAGAAGGGAATTTCATTGCATGTGGTAAGCCCTCTTTCTACTAAAAACATAGAATACACTATGAGTTTATAGCTATATGTCCTTTCATTGTACACTTATAATAGCTCCCACATTATGAAGTCCTCTCCTAATAATTTCTCCCTTTTAGAACCTAATTCTAATTATATATAATTTCTAGTAATCATTACAAAGATTTCACCCTTTAATTAGTATCCAAATTGAGCCTTCTATTGAAGTTGGAAGATATGTTATGGATAAATGGCTTTTTTTAATCATTTTATGAGCTAGAAGATTTTGCATTTTCATTCATATAGGAAATATTGGCAAGCACAATATCTTCATTGACACCGGATCGGAGGAGCTCGACAAATCCACGTCGACGATCCGGTGGCGGTCGAAGGACAC